GTTCGAATCCCGTCAGAAACCTGGACCAACTAAACGCTTATTAGTAAAAAAAAAATGGGTGCGTGTACTTATGTAGGCGCGTGAGAAGTTATCCTTCTTTGGCATCGTTTAAAATTAGTTTTTAATTGCATGCAAATAATTAATTACAATAAATTAATAAAAAGTCTGGAAAAGGACGAAGTCAATAAAGTTCAGTTTTAATTTGAAAAAATAAATAAATAATCAAAATATTCAATTAAAATCGCTACTGAATATAATTTATTAGAACATGTGTGATTTGCACTTGTATGAAACTCAAACACGTATTCCGAATATACAAACTAGAAACATGTGGATAAATATTATAAATATGAATACCTATAACTGTTACTTTATTACAAAAAATAAAGATGTGGTTTTTGGTTCTACTACACCAATGGTCAAGAGATGGCGCTGTAGTCTCCTGAATCGCGCTTTGGTTCCGTTGTTCCAGATTAATAAATACTTTTTGTTACTTTATTACAAAAAATAAAGATGTGGTTTTTGGTTCTACTACACCAATGGTCAAGAGATGGCGCTGTAGTCTCCTGAGTCGCGCTTTGGTTCCGTTGTTCCAGATTAATAAATACTTTTGATAGGCCTTCACAATGCAGTCGTTAGCACCCACTAAATAGAGATTCTATTTCTATTTTGTTGGTAGATTTTCTTAATGTGCGGTAAACACAAAAGTAACGCATGAAGTTGGTCGCTAAAGCGACCAACTTCATTATGTTAAAATTTTGTGTTACAGTGATGCGCGCGCATCTTAAAATTTCACTCTCATCATTTTTTCATAACGCGCCTAAAGAAGTATAACTTCAAAAATCTTTAGATTTAAACATCTAGCAAGCAGTGAAATGCTGAAAAACATAAATATTACATTCGCCTTAAATATGTTATTCTATCACGTAAAGATTAATTCTAGACAGACAGAAGAAGCGATAAATTAGATGTGTCACCGGCGCCCTTACAAAAACACAACTGCTTATTTTGAACTCTACACGAACACGATAAAGTTGTCGCGTGTTTCAATTTTTTTTTTCCTTCGCGTCTGCTAAGTAATATAATATCCATGTGACACTTTCTATCTGTATGCAAATGCAGTGACGCGCGACAACCGAGCAACGAAATGAATACGTCTCTAAATTATATCTGTGCTATTCTGTTAGTGACGGTATTCTTCTCGTGGCGTTTCTTTTATTTCATTTCTCAATGCAAACTTTTCTTTTTGCTTTTTAAATAAGATGTAGGTTTTTGGAGTTTACTCCTTAAGAATCGATTTGCATATTTAAGGGGCCCGGTATGAGAAAAATGTGAGGAGTGAAATCCATCGATGAATGACATTAATGACCTCGTTACGTTTTTTTGCGCAACCTCATCTGCGCACCTTTCACTTTTAGCCATGGCAACGGATAAAAAACATTAAGTTGTCACAAATGTCAATAAAATAAATAAACTAAAAATAGATAAAATCCAATCCAATCCGGTAAGTGTCCAGCACTCTGGAATAGTGATTTTCAGTACAGATGGAATTATAATACATATTTACAAAATGATGACTAGTGTGTGATATTTTTGTAATTGTGTGTTTCCAGAAATACATAATAAAATATATGTTGAATATCGCTGATGTGAGATGATAAAATATGTGACATGGAACCTATGATAGTCGAAACCATGGCACGATTCCTGAGGTATCTCTACTTGTAACCGACTTCTTCGGACTTGATTTTGTTTTGTGTCTGTTCAAAGACAATCGTTTTTAGAGTGTAAACTCCGGTCGTGCGTGGGAGCTGACACACACAATTTTTTTCATGACTAGCAGTGATTTGCGATTTTAGAGAAATGTGTTGCTTAAAGTTTCATACGGACACAATATAAACAATTATGACGCGCGACTCAAAGTAGGTCGCTATGTCAGCTCAGTATGTGCGGTGATGAGACCGTACAGGGCTGTTACATTTTCTGACTTAGGTCAGCATCATCAGCCTTTTCAATGTCCTCACTGCTGGGGCATAGGCTTTTCCTAAGGATGGAATAGGGGTTTTGGGGTATGACCCACCACGCAGGGCCTGTGACGATTACAGGTGCAGTCAGGTCCAACAGCTTAACGTGCCTAACGACGCACAGAGAAGGTCGACATCGCAAATTTTTGGACACCCATCCGGTGACCGTTGACTAATTTACGGTACGGTACGGTACCGTATGTGTCGTAGGATGGTTTGATAGATTTTCGCCAAAATCCTATGGATAAAACACGCCAATTATGTTGCTCAATCTCATGCCGCAATTATATTTGGTCGTTACACCGTATTCGGGTCCACGAAAGGCATTACTCGAATAAATGCTTCTATTCTGTGGATGAATATTTAAATTACAAATAGATAATAATTTAATATATGAATGCACAAAGTTAAAAAGAAAATATATTTATTAGATAAATGCTTTTAAATATACTTTTTAATATATATAAATGAACACTTTACAACAAAATAATACTAACGAGGCGATTTTTTTTAAAATACAAACCTAGTATATAATAATCATGTTAATTGACATATTATTTTATTTTTATTGACATATTTATTAATTTTAATTACTGACAAATTTAATTTAATTTTATAAATGAATTTCCATTTCTATTATATTTCTACTGTTAAAAAGATCAATTGAGTAAGTTATATTGTTAAACAAATGGAATCAGATGACATTTATGCATAATTTGAGATATAAGTAGTTTAATACAAATTAGGTTCCTTATATACATAACTGTTTATTAATTAAATTCTTTTGTAATTTTTATCTTTAATTGTACTGTATATTGCGATACCCTGACAGGGTTCATGTTAGGTACTATAAGCATTTTGTAACCATCGATGTAACCACATGAGTGCAATAAATTGAATTGAATTGAACTGAATTCAGGTCCCCACGCAAGCTTTACACTGGAATACTGGCTGTGAAACGATTTCGGGTAAACAAAAGGAAATCTAAAGAAAAATTTACTAGAAAAAATTCCACGCGGACCAGGCAGCAGTCGGGACTTGAACCCGCATCCTTCGCTATCCGCTAGTCCCGTCCGCTGCCTGGTCCCCGTGGATTTTTTTCTAGTAAACTTTTCTTTAGATTTTAACATCCAGCAGTTAAATGCTTTAAAAAAAATATACAACTATAAAAGGAAATCTATCCGAATTTGGGCATACTCGATTCTGTTCATTTACACTTAGTTATATAGCCGAATTCCATTGGCACTCCTATTCGGGTTAACGACCATTACTATTATCAAAATTATTATCTGGTCACAACACTAACTTAACTCAGCTTGAACCCAAGAATATATTTTATAATAAGCCAACGATTCTTTTCGTAATCTTACTGAGGTGATTCGCGTTTTCACAAAAATCTTATCGTTTTTTAGAAATATTGAGAAGGTCATTGCCATTGTCCAATTATCCGGGTGATTCCTGGGACCCATGATGTTAAGGGTCACATTGAAATATTAACTGGAGTAATAGACCAACTTGAATAAAGTACCACTCCAAACTTTACCTAACTATTGTAGTGTTGAGGCCCATTGATAAAAAATAATATTTAATTAAAGAAATTAGTTAAATATCCATTTGAAACTGAAAAACGTAGTAATTTCACTAGATTTTTACGTGTCACACGCACGACTCTTGCTATGTTATAGTAAATATTTTTTTACGCTCAAGGTTATACATGAATATATACTTTTTTAAATACATAAAGAGTTATACTATTAGATCATGAATAAACTTCTAAAGTAATCAAAGTCTAGTATACCTTTATTCGTTCAAATACATGTCACGCGGCGGGCATAGTTTCAATCTCGCGGCGAAACTATGACAATTCATTTAGTGGAATACGCGGTAATCCACTTGCGATTGGTCCAAAAGATCGCTTGTTGACCGGCAGTGTTCGGACGGAAGGTAGTGTCTGTAGATTGCGTGCAAAAAAATTTGGGTAAGTTCTTTGACTTCTGCAAATGTTTGTCCAACGGGGTAGGTACAACTCATGGCTCGTTTTGCTGTTAAATTGAGAATAGTTTCACTTAACTGGTCTTTGATTAATAATACGTATATCCCTGTGTAGGCACTGGAGTACAAATAAATACGATTTTATTTATAGTTTTACAGTAATACCTTCATATTTGAATTATCGTCAGATTCGTGGTCGTAAGATCCGTGGATTTAAGCCATGGATCTGATTTATCGACCATGGATCTGACCGCATGATATTATAGCTTCACTGCCTTCGTGGTGTAACGGTTAGAGCGTTGGACTCCCAACCTGTTCAGTTTCAGTTTCAATTGCCGTGGGTACCTACCCAGTAAAGACTGATGTTTAAATGTAAGAATTTAAACAAATACCAAAGTAGTTTATTTTTAGATTTTTTAATATTTTATATGCATTGGATGTAAAAAAAAAACTTCTGATTACTTCTGCTATAATGATGTTTTATTTATAATTTTCTTTATTGGAGCATTCTAACAGGCGATTCTAACGCGACGCCATTACTTGATTCATATACTTCGTCAGATCCGTGGCGAGCCAAAATATTTTCTTTTTTTTTTCAAGAATCTATAAGGTACTACGTGTGTGCATCATCCACAGAATGGTTTTTCAGCCCTCTTTAGCCATATAATTTTAGTTTTTTCTAATAATGAAATAAAATAAAAGCCACGGATCTGATGCGAAGAACGTTGGTCCCAGGAATCACCCATCCGCGTTTTCGCAAAATACATAGGATTCGCAAAAAATTGGTTTATCTAATCATCCAACGACACATATAAGCTCACTGGTCAAGCTTATTACAAGCTGTAGCTACAAGCCACTCCTCATTCCCTCACCCATACACCGCAATACACATTAACTTCACAAACTGCAGGTCAAAAAAAAATATATGAAAAATCGACCACTCCATACATCATCGAAATAAAACGGCCTCAATTAAATTTAATTTCAATTGGAAGCGGGCGCCGGCGCCGGTAGTGCGGCCTCCGGGTAACGACGATTGATTGCGTCATTTATAAGGGCCCGATTTGATCGGCCATCGAGGGTGACCATGCTCCTCAAGATAACTGGGACGTTTCCTAACAATATTTCCTTCCTTGCCGTTATCCTATTATCCTCTCTTTCTTTTTCCCTTTTTAATAGGTGTTAAAATAAAATAGTTCCATCATTTTCAGAAAATCAATTCTAATTTACTTAAATGACGGGTCTAATAACCTACCGTCTGAAAAGCGTTAGATAGAAATCAGTTAAAATAGTCATTAAAAAATAAAAACACACTATATTCTGTTATAACAAAATAAAAAAAAGCATTTTCTTTTTCCAAATTATAAAAATGTACATTTTTGTATAATTGCAATGATATCAAATGAAATAAACCTACAGAACTCTACATTTCGTTTAGAATTCAATATGCTGGTAGTGCACACACTACCATATATATTCCTTTGCTACATAACCTATCTCCTATCGTGACTTAAACAATCTGGAGGGATGAGGAACCCCTCACGGCTGGTATCAACAAGAAGTGGTGGTTAAACAGTGGTTGATCGAAACTGCTGTAACGTGCCTCAGAGGCAATCCTCAGGGGCAAACAAACAACGTTAAAAAATACACAAAGAACTTCAAAAAGTGCCAGACTGATGTGCTTTTATTATATTTGTACAAGCCATTTTAATTAAATTAAATTTTAAAGCCAATTATATTTTATTAAGTTTGCATTCCTAGTCGATGCACTCTAAACTGCTGACACAGTTGACCCACTAATTGGTTTAAGAACAATATTTTACATTATATGACAGTGCAATAAAGGCATTCACATCATATTGACGTATTTAAATAATTATCTCCTGACAATCGTCCCGTGCCTAATTGACATATTGACAGTCGTTAGGGTCCTAGCAACGGCCCATACAATATTTACTACAGTTCAACAGTGTCCTAAGTTATCTGGGCAGCATGGAGCGCGTAGTCGCGACGGCGCGCCATCGCTCACGGCGGCTGCCGTCAAACATCCCTTTATTGTTTTTTTATGTCTTGAATTATGCCCTCCTGGGCTGGTGTTTGTGCGTTATGTGCCGTTTATTATGCGATTGGCTTTTTGTACCAAAGGAATCGACGATTTCTTACCGCTAACCTGAAAGGAAAATACACGCTCGTAATAATGTTTTATTTATCTAATACAAAGTTGTCGTCTTTATACAAAAAGAAGCAAGTGTACCTTAAAAAGGGTAAAGAAATAAAAGATACTTCAAGAGTCTCCCTGATATTTAGGTGAATGTAATTTTGTTCTACCTATGTAAACACTCAAACCAATCAGCGAAGTATCTCGTTACTTAGCGTATATTTGGTTTCGTTTGAGTTGGAATTAAGGGTTCTTAGTAACAATTTCGTGGAGATATTTGACGTCGAATGTTTTTTCGACACGTGTTTGTATCTCACACACTATAATAAGTTGTTTTGTATCCATTGAATACCATTCTGCAGGATAAATAAACACTGACCTGTGATGTATGACCTCCACGATCAGTACCTATAGTTTCCAGTAGTTCAGCACTGCGCGCGGCACATATGTATAATATTAGTAGGTAGTAGGGATGAGGTACTCCCCCCTCCTTCTGCGAATTGGTGATGACGCAGAAGGAGGCAGCGGAGAGGGAGCGGGAGGAGGACGCTCTAGCCGCCTCTCTCCGGCGTAGACGGGTGGGCCGAAGAAGGCAGGCAGCGGTGACTGCCGGTCTTCGACGGCCCTAAGGTGGTCTGGGCGTGGCCTGACCAGCCGCGCGCCCTAGGTGCCGCTCCGGCATAGGCCACCACGTCTGGGGACTGCCTAGTACCCTAGCGCAGTCCCCCTGAGGCGCGTCGCCCGGTCCACTCGTTGGGCCGGGCCAGCCCGGGGGCGTGCTCGGAGATGTGGCGCACGCAGGTACGTCGGCCCCGAGACCGCCCCCATATGGGCGTAAGAGGGTACCGGGGGGTTTTAGTGGAGTAGGATCAGTGTGGCCTTCCGCACTGGTCCTGCTTGAGTAGGGTCGGCACTGTTTCCCGTGCCGGCGAGTCCCACACACGCCGTGCGCCTAGTCAGCGTCACGGTATGGTGCGTAACTGCATTTCCCCTCGTCACAAAAAAAAGGGATGAGGTACTCCCCACGGCCGGTGATCAAGAAAGGTGGTGGTTAAACAGTGGTTGATAGAAACTGCTGTTAATGGAATACCTCTCGAAGTTGTTTAGGAATATGTCTATCTAGGACAAACGCTCCGATTAGGCAGGAACAACTTTGAGAGAGAAGCCAATAGAAGAATTCAGTTGGGCTGGGCAGCATTTCGCAAACTTCGTCAAATCTTCTCGTCACCCATCCCTCAATGTCTCAAGTCGAAAGTCTTCGACCAGTGCGTCCTCCCAGTTATGACATACGGCGCCGAGATGTGGACACTCACGGCTGGACTGGCCCACCAGTTTAAAGTCGCTCAGAGAGCTATGGAAAGGGCTATGCTCGGAGTATCCCTGAAGGACCGCATCAGAAATGATGTAATCCGACAGAGAACCAGAGTCACCGACATAGCCCACCGAATTAGCAAACTAAAGTGGCAGTGGGCAGAACTGACGGCCGATGGAGCCGTAAAGTTTTTGAGTGGAGACCGCGACTCGGTAAACGTAGTGTGGGACGCCCTGAGACACGATGGAATGATGACATTCGTAGGCTGGCTGGCGTGAGCTGGATGAGAGTGGCAGAAAATCGGGAGCAGAGGCATGCATTAGGGGAGACCTATGTCCAGCAGTGGACGAGCATGGGTCGATGATGATGATGATGATGATGATGATAGAAACTGCCCGGTACTGTATGACCCCTGCAACCAGTAGGAGCAGTGCCAGCAACGCGGCGTCCAGTTGCAGAGCCTACATCGTAACCAATTGTCAAGGGGACTACGCGCGCACCATATATAATATAGGTATTAGTCGGCATCTAAAACAGTGGTTAATATTAACTGACCGGTGCTGTATAATCTCCGTGACCAGCCTCAAAGAGCAGATGGGCTTGTCAAAGCGCACGTGAAGTCCTGCCTGAGAACGCTGACATGGCGCTGGACATACAGGAGTTCACAACGTTGTAATAAATGATATTTGCTCTATGGTCTCCACGATAAGTATAAGTAGTGCCAGCAGCGCGCCTTCCAATAGTAGAGCGAATTCTGATAATACTTGTCCCAGATCCCAGTCAACTTACCTGAATACGATGGCAGGGCGCTGCTGCCCGCGCAAGAGTTCACAACCGTGCAATGACTGACCTATGCTGTGCGATCTCCACGACAAGTATGAGTAGTGCCAACAGCACGCCTTCCAATAGTAAAGCGAATTCTGATGATGTCCCAGTTCCCAGTCAACTTACCTGAATACGATGGCAGGGCGCTGCCCGCGCAAGAGTTCACAACCGTGCATTGACTGACATAATGCTGTATGATCTCCGCGACAAGTATGAGTAGTGCCAACAGCGCGGCTTCCAATAGTAGAGCGAATTCTGATGATGCTTATCACAGATCCCAGTCAACTTACCTGAATACGATGGCAGGGCGCTGCCCGCGCAAGGGTTTACAACCATGCAATGACTGACCTATGCTGTATGATCTCCACGACAAGTATGAGTAGTGCCAACAGCGCGGCTTCTATTAGTAGAGCGAATTCTGATGATGCTTGTCCCAGATCCCAGCCAACTTACCTGAATACGATGGCAGGGCGCAGCCCGCGCAAGAGTTCACAACCGTGCAATGACTGACCTTTGTTGTATTATCTCCACGATAAGAATGAGTAGTGCCAGTAGCGCTGCCTCCAGCAACAGAGCTAATGCTGGCGCCGCTTGTCCCAGCGTCAACTTACCTGAACACGATGGCATGTTGCTGCCAGCGTGGGAGTTAACAACGTTCTGATAACTAACCTTTGTTGTATGATCTCCACGATAAGAATGAGTAGTGCCAGTAGCGCTGCCTCCAGCAACAGAGCGAATGCTGGCGCCGCTTGTCCCAGCGTCAACTTACCTGAACACGCTGGCATGTTGCTGCCAGCGTGAGAGTTAATAACCTTCTGATAACTGACCTTTGTTGTATGATCTCCACGATAAGAATGAGTAGTGCCAGTAGCGCTGCCTCCAGCAACAGAGCGAATGCTGGCGCCGCTTGTCCCAGCGTCAACTTACCTGAACATGCTGGCATGTTGCTGCCAGCGTGGGAGTTAATAACGTTCTAATAACTGACCTTTGTTGTATGATCTCCACGATAAGAATGAGTAGTGCCAGTAGCGCTGCCTCCAGCAACAGAGCGAATGCTGGCGCCGCTTGTCCCACCTTCTACTTACCTGAACACGCTGGCATGTTGCTGCCAGAGTGGGAGTTAACAACGTTTTGATAACTGACCTTTGTTGTATGATCTCCACGATAAGAATGAGTAGTGCCAGTAGCGCTGCCTCCAGCAACAGAGCGAATGCTGGCGCCGCTTGTCCCACCTTCTACTTACCTGAACACGCTGGCATGTTGCTGACAGCATGGGAGTTAACAACGTTCTGATAACTGACCTTTGTTGTATGATCTCCACGATAAGAATGAGTAGTGCCAGTAGCGCTGCCTCCAGCAACAGAGCGAATGCTGGCGCCGCTTGTCCCACCTTCTACTTACCTGAACACGCTGGCATGTTGCTGACAGCATGGGAGTTAACAACGTTCTGATAACTGACCTTTGTTGTATGATCTCCACGATAAGAATGAGTAGTGCCAGTAGCGCTGCCTCCAGCAACAGAGCGAATGCTGGCGCCGCTTGTCCCACCTTCTACTTACCTGAACACGCTGGCATGTTGCTGATAGCATGGGAGTTAACAACGTTCTGATAACTGACCTTTGTTGTATGATCTCCACGATAAGAATGAGTAGGGCCAGTAGCGCTGCCTCCAACAACAGAGCGAATGCTGGCGCCGCTTGACCGAGAGCTAGCGCTCGTGGCGTCCGCCCAGAGCAGGCTGGCATCACGCCGCCCACGCGTGCGCGAGATACGGATACGTGACCGCGTTCCAATAGTCGCATCATGCTATAATAATCACAATCTTTAAATTCTTCTCGAGTTCTTGAATAGTAATTACTATTAATAGTCTTAATTAATTTTAAGTTAAAATTTCATGGTGTACAATAAAGTGATCATTCATTCATTCATTATGTATTTATGTTTTCATTTATTTTTAAGCATTTAACTGCTAGATGTTTAAATCTAAAGAAAAGTTTACTAGAAAAAAAATTCCACGTGGACCAGGCAGCGGACGGGACTCGAACCCGCACCCTTCGCATTTTTTTTCTAGTAAATTAGATTAGATTAGATTTAAACATCTAGCAGTTAAATGCTTAAAAATAAATAAAAACATAACTATAATTGCTATTTCTTCTTTCAAATGTTCTTGAAAAAGTATTCACTGGACATTGTGGGTTACCTACACTGCGAAGAGATGGCGCTGCCTTGCAGCTTAAGGGTAGGAAAAATTCGACGCGGCCATCAGGGCCGTGGTAGCATAATTGGTCAGTGCATTCGCCCGGATTGCGAAGGGTGCGGGTTCGAATCCCGTCCGCTGCCTAGTCCGCGTGGATTTTTTTCTAGTAAAACTTTTCTTTAGATTTAATTGTAGTTTATTTTATTTTTTCCTAATTTTATCTAACAAGTAGTTTAATGCTTGAAATATGACGGTCTCAGTGACTACGGTGTACAGAAAGACAGGAACACAATACAGCAGATAAAACTAGTTTTTACGGGTTAATGCATGAAAACTTTATTTATTTATTAACGTTTCGCAGCCTTTTCAGGTCTGCATCGTCAGAATAATGATTTTTTTATTTAAAATTGTCGAGCTACCTTCGAAAGACTTATATTGAGCGTTCGGTTATTTCATTGGAAGATTTTTAAAATTTTATTGTCTATGTATGCATTTATTATTTAATTTACATATATAAAGTATTTTATTTAAAATTCTTGTTTGTAATTTTGAGTTTATTTATTTGACCCTAACTACCGTAAACTACCACCGGTTCCAAAATTGGGAGACCTTCCTGAGAAGAACCGGCGAAACAAACTCAAGAGAGGCTTTCTATCTATAACCGAACGCTCAATATAAGTCTTTCGAAGGTAGCTCGACAATTTTAAATATAAAAGTCATTATTCTGACGATGCAGACCTGAAAAGGCTGCGAAACATCAATAAATAAATAAAGTTTTCGTGCATTAACCCGTAAAAACTAGTTTTATTTAATGAGTGATGTGCGTGAAAACCTAAGAAACAAATACAATACAGCAGCATGACGTCACCTAGTTCATTAAAAATTTATTGATAATTTCATGTCGAACTATGCAACAGAATACAAAAAATTGTGTGTGTCAGCTCCGACGCACGACCGGAGTTTACACTCTAAAAACGATAGTCTTTGAACAGACACAAAACAAAATCAAGTCCGAAGAAGTCGGTTACAAGTAGAGATACCTCAGGAATCATCCCATGGTTTCGACTATCATAGGTTCCATGTCACACATTTTATCATCTAACATCAGCGATATTCATCATATATTTTATTATGTATTTCTGGAAACACACAATTTCAAAAATATCACACACTAGTCATCATTTTGTAAATATGTATTATAATTCCATCTGTACTGAAAATCACTATTCCAGAGTGCTGGACATTTACCGGCATTTCTCTATATTCTGTTATTTATTTGTTTTCATTAATTTTGCTCCGATTTTATCTATTTTTAGTTTATTTATTTTATTGACATTTGTGACAACTTAATGTTGATTATCCGTTGCCATGGCTAAAAGTAAAAGGTGCGCAGATGAGGTTGCGCACAAAAACGTAACGGGGTCATTAATGTCATTCATCGATAGATTTTACTCCTCACATTTTCTCATACCGGGCCCCTTAATATATGCAAATCGATTCTTAAGGAGTAAACTCCAAAAAATACCTCCATATAAAGAAGTGGCGGTAGGGGCTGCGTTTTTGACCCATTATGTAGACGGGCGCAGGCGATATCATCTGCAACTCGCCCAGCTCGCACAACTCGCGGTCCTCGAACGTGCGCGCGATCACCTGGCTCGCAGTGTAGGGCTCCGTGTGATATGCGTATGCTGCAACAAGCCGCGCTCATCATGGTCAATCAGATCATGACAAGATAAACTGATGAAAGAAACACTATATAGTAAACTTTTCTTTAGATTTAAACATCTAGCAGTTAAACGCTTAAAGATAAATAAAAACATAACTTTAATAGGGGTGATGACGGGGTACAGTAAACGAAATTATATTTAGTCCGTCAGTTAGATGATCAAAAAATAATGGACACGTATTTTTTCTTTGGGCAATCATCCAAAAAATGGCAAAGTTATAGCGCGTCAAAGTTTGGGAGTAGGTGCTCGTGACGTCCCTTTTGAGTGAATTTTCACTTATAAATTTACTCAAACGTGACGTCATGCAACTTTTCAAATCAATATACCTCTGCAATGTTTATATTATGTGAAAAAAGAAAAAATACGTGTCCAATACTTTTTGATAATCTACCTGAGAAACGAAGAAAAAAAATTAGTCATCATCCCTATTGAGGGCGTCCCACGGCTACCTCACACGGAGGGAAAGTATATTAAATATTGAAGATAGGATATTTTACTGAAAGGAGACATCGTTTTATTTTTAATAGTAACAAGAACTGCATTCACAGATTTTTTTAAAATCGCCTGCTACAACTAAGAATCAAACTCGTGAAATTTCGAAAAAATAAACAGCATATTTTATGATAACCATCGAAAGGGATAATTATAAGGATTATTTTTTGCTAAATAACATAGCATTTTAAATGAAAGAAAAGTAATTTAATTTAACATTTTATTTTAAATTATTTAACACATACTAATATAAAATCGGAAACGCCTTAAAGCCAGTTAAAATGTTGAGTTCACCATCATTGACGCTGCTGTGGTTCTGTAAGCGCATAGCAAAACGTGTAGCCGTGGGACGCCCTGTATAGTAAACTTTTCTTTAGATTTAAACATCTAGCAGTTAAATGCTTAAAGATAAATAAACATAACTGCAATAATTGCTATTTCTTCTTTCAAATGTTTAATACTTGAAAAAGTATTCATTTGACATTGTGGGGTTGCCTACAATACGAGGAGATGGCGCTGCCTTGCAGCTTAAGGCTAGGAAAATTTCGACGCAGCCAATAGAGCCGTGGTAGCATAATGGTCAGTGCATTCGCCCGGATTGCGAAGGGTGCGGGTTCGAGTCTCGTCCGCTGCCTGGTCCGCGTGGATTTTTTTCTAGTAAAATTTTCTTTAGATTTAAACATCTAGCAGTTAAATGCTTAAAAATAAATAAAAACATCACTATATAGTAGTTAATCACGCTTTTATTTATTTATTTATAATTTACCTACAGCTAAAAAAAAATACCTTTGGTAGTGGCCAGTCATTGGATGGTGGACCAGATCGTTGGCCATGGCCTGTTTCCCTATTCCATTTATAGGCAAGGGCGTCGCCAAGAAGGGGGTCAGGGGGGGGGGGGCATGTAGCTAGCCGCAAAGCGACCAAAGTGCGAGCAATTGACTTCCTTACCTATAATATTGCCCCTGGTCACGCCACAAAAACAAAACAAATTCCCGGCGCGGATGTGCGATTATATACAAGAAGAAAACACAAAAACTAGAGGGAAACTGTGGGAAAGGGGGTACCTGTTGGTTTGTTGGGCTGGTTCCTTGACGCCTGTTCTTCCTGTCCTGGAGAAATGTTCGCCTGTGGCGCGCCACTATTTCTTTTTTACACTAATGTTCGCGGGATGTTCGCGGGCCCCGGGGCGGAAATATGTGTAGGCGAAAAGCGTCTCCGGAGCGCGGTTTTTTTCAGTCGTGGGAGTTTCTTGGTATCTCCTTTCGGCGATCAGAGAACACAAAAAGGCCGTTGCCTTTATTTCGTCCGTTCGTTCGAATTGCAGCGATGGCAGCGCCGCGGACGAAGTCGACAACAGGTGAGTTTAGAGGAAGGGATAAGGTAAATGTGTTTTCACAATCTTACGATAGATGGCGTTAACAGCCCCATTGCCCCCCCTTAGTCATAAGCTGGCGACGCCCTTGTCTATAGGGAAAGCCTGTGCCCCAGAAGTTGGGACATTAATAGGCTAATGATAATGAATCGGAGATTACCTCCATGCCTGATGAGCTCTATTCCAGTGGCGGCCGGTTGCAGGATCGCAGTTGTTCTCTTCGCTCTGGTTACCTTCACATCCCTGAATACATCTTCTTCAATATTTTTGTAACCAGCGAAGTAGAAGAACCCTGGATTCTGTTAAAAAATAATCTTAATCTTTTTAATGTTCAAAAGGGTGGCAAATGAGATATTACCCACCTGATGATAAGCGGCCGCCATAGCCTATCATCAGCCTATTAATGTCCCCACTGCTGGGGAACAGGCCTTCATGGATGGAATAGGGAGATTGGGCCATGAACCACCACGCGGGCCCAGTGCGGATTGGTGGGTGCTAACGACTGCAGATGCAGCCGGGACCAGCGGCTTAACGTGCCTTTCGAAGCACGGTGGATCTTGAGATAGTAAATTTTTGGTCACCCATCCAATGACCGACCACTGCGAAAGTTGCTTAACTTCAACGATCGCAGCCGAACGCGCTAACCACTTGCGCCATCGAGCTCCTCCATAGCCTATAGACGCTTGCAATACAAAAAATATCACTCGGGCCGTTGTCTACCCCCAACTAATCCTAGGGGATTAGGTGGGGTATAGGCCCAATGGAGCCCTGAAACTTTACTCATCGTCAGAAACACGACGCCACCAAATGCTAGTGATATTTTAATGTGGTCTTCTGTAAGGTGGAGATTAATTAATCAGACGGGAGCTTCAATTCGCACGAAAAAACCGCTATGCCCTACCTCTCTTAAAATAATAATGTTCTCTCGTGTAGTATAAATAATTGGTAAAATCTATATATATACTAGCTGACCCAGCGAACTTCGTACCGCCCTAAAAAAATAGGGGTTGTCCAGCGGACAAAATTGTGAATCTAAACCATTCTCAGATCCCCTTGAACACACACAAAAAATTTCATCAAAATCGGTCCAGTCGTTTAAGAGAAGTTTAGTGACATACACACTCACAGAAGAATTATATATATACTAGCGGACCCGACAGACGTTGTCCTGTCTACACGTCTTTGTGAATCTAAACCATTCTCAGATCCCCTTGAACACACACAAAAAATTTCATCAAAATCGGTCCAGTCGTTTAAGAGAAGTTCAGTGACATACACACTCACAGAAGAATTATATATATAAAAAAGATAACTCAAAGATGACTGTCATAGTGATCTATCAACGCACAGCCCAAACCACTGGACGGATCGGGCTGAAATTTGGCGTGCAGGTAGATGTTATGACGTAGGCACCCGCTAAGAAAGGATTTTGATCAATTCTCCTCCCAAGGGGATAAAATAGGGAATGAAAGTTTATATGAAACTTTGTAAATTTTAAACCGATCGGGCTGAGACTTTGCATGCAGGTATAAGAAGAATCATAGATGAATGTCATTGTGTATAATACAAGCCTGAGAACAAAAACTGTAGTCTACAACGAAGCGAAGCGAGGGCGGGCCGCTAGTAAATAATAAAAAAAATATTTATTTGCTTAAATCGGAAGCTAACGTTTTTACACTACCCCTTCGAGAGCTGTTTTTATACATGTTTGTCACTCGATCTCAACCATCATACGCGTAAAAAGGCTGAGACATGGTGTTCATTACCTTGATTGAGAAAAAGATTAATTTTATATGTTAGCTTCCTGTGGTATTATCATACAAATAACTATATTGCGGACAAAACAGTAGATGGAAATTAGTTTTTTATAAAACAATGCCTTCCTTAAGCCTTCTCTTAGAAACTATTACGGGGAATAGCGAGTCAAAAAACACCAGACAACAAAACAAAAAGACGGCATATTATCAAATCATGAAATTATTATTGATTTGACCAATTTAGGAATGAGACTATTCAAAGTAGTTGATTTATGCATCAAATTTAACATAGTAGATAATACCTTATTCTTAAAGAGAATCATCTATTTTATATTTATTACGTAGTTTAATTTTTAAGATCGTTCAAAGTTGAAATTTCTTACCAATTGGAATTTATATATCTTTCATTAGAATCGATAATACCTTTTTAGTTTGATTTTGACTTATCCAAGAACTTGTTTAACGTCTAGACTGAATAAAAAAAATTCATCCTAATTTTATTTTACCTGGAGCGACTCAACAAACACCGTGCAATACTAAAACGAATATAACTTTATCCAAAGCAAAACTAAATTACTGATGTATGATCGACTTACGAGGAATCCAAGAACGATCCTCTTCATCTGATGCTGCGTTTTATTGACAATCAAGCACAAAACGTACCAAAATTTCTGAGCGGTGTTGTGCCGATTACATCAAGATATTGCTGAACATAATCTCTTATCTATTAGACAAGTCCGTCCGTCCGTCCGTGGTGCTGTTTCAGCGACCAAACCGTAAGAGATAGATATAGAGAATGTTTAAGTTATAAGTTAAGAATAGTCTGATAAGACTACAAACCGGATGTGAGTAACGTAGCACTTCCGGTTTTCGAGAAATCACGTGATTTCTATTTCAAACGAAACCACACAAAATCTCCGAAGTTGTCAACTAATTAAATACATTTTTTTTTGTGGTGAATATTTGGTTCACTGGTTTGCTAGTCAATCATAATCGAATATGAAAGACCAGGTCCAACAATTAGACAGACACCGCACCCGTAGGATAAGTGTGCGAGGACCCGGTCTACACACGACACGCTATACCAGGTACAGGTTAACTAGGCCCGAGGTCCGAGTCTCAGAGACGCCCTCTAGTTGAGCCGACCCCCTCAGGTTCGAGGGGTCTGGAGGCTCCAGACGGAGAGGATACTCCCTCCGTGGGGAAACGCCATCCGCCTGGAATACCTCCAGAGGCACTCGCTAATTCTCGGCTTGAGGTCAAAAAAAGGTCTAACAATGATGTATTATTGTACTGTTATACTTATGGTAGGAAAACCCAAGCAGGGATTTTGTGATTAACTCAGACGCAGGCAAAAAACATTTAACTATAAATACAAGGCCTCAAGGAACAATACTTCCAGCGACTAACCATGCACCCAAACCCACAGGCCAACGAGTTGCTAGATACGTCGAATATAACTAACAGACTCAGAAGACGTAATGTTGATTAGCCGAGAAGCTTCTTAAAGTCATTCCGCATGCAATAAAATTGATAAAAGTGCTTAAGGACTGATGGCGATTAAGATTGGGAATAAAAATCGGTCATGGCTTTTGGTCGCGTCCAAATCATCAGTCTTTTGAATAAAAGCTACTGGAGGGTAACTTCACAAGGTTCTAGGTTGCCCCCTTATGTGACGCCGCCGTGCACGTGTAAATCACAAAATCCCCGCTTGAATTCCCTTATTAATTATTACTTACGCCAAGTCTCGCGTTATCATATCTCTATTTAGTCACACTTACTTTAGTCGATTTTCTGTACCATAGCGTTGAGGTGCTAGAACGCTCCGATAATATTTTAGGCTGATAATGAGGATGTACTCACTCACATAAAGCTATTGCCTCGCATATCCGATGTTCTCAAACACCAGTTCCAGGTCACTGTTCATGAGTCCTTGCAGTCTATGATTGGCACCGCGGCGTTGACGAGTCAGGACCCCACGCTGATATCTTAGGCTAATAATTAGGATATACCCACTGTTGGACTGCGGTAGTCTCCTTTTGCGAGGAAGTCATCCTCCAGAAGGAGACAGCGGAGAGGTCCCGCGAACAAGACGCCCGGGCCGGCCTTCTCTGTCGCCGACGGCGGGGTGGAAGGCGGCGGCGGTACGACCGCCTCTTTCCACCCTAGTGAAGCTAGCGGGTGGCGGACAGGGTGGTCCGTCACCCGCATTGCACAGTCTCACCCGTCGAGGGGGGATGCCTGGGTGCTCCCGGGCATCCCCACGACCGCCAGGAGGAGTAGAAACCCCTGCCCGGGGTAACGTGGAGAGTCACCTGGATCCCACGAAACCCGTTCCGGCAGGCGAGGGAGCACTGTTGGGTTTTTAGTGGGTAGCCCCCCCCCCCCTCATCCCGAGCAGTCGCTGAGCCAGTTTGGCTGAGCGGGTGGGCGGGATGTGGAGGAGAATGAGTCAAACATAACCCCGTCTCTCACCCAGGGGTGGGTATGAGTCACGCATTTTCCCAACAAAAAAAAAAGGATATACCTACTGTACCAACGAGTATATGAGCTCACTCACATAAAGCCATTGCCTCGTATATCCGATGTTCTCGAACACCAGTTCCAGGTCACTGTTCATGAGTCCCTGCAGGGAGTCGATGCTTGGCACCGAGGCGTTGAGGAGCCAGGACACCACGCTGCTCGTGTAGTAGTTGTACAGCAGCATGCTGGTCATGCCGACTACTAACACGGTGACACGACGTCCTAAGTAAAGGAAATTATTATGGAAATTTCTGTGAGGTTCTAATTTGAGGAAACAAAAAGTTTCCTACTAATCCTATAAGACTAAGTTCTGATGGTCGCGCGAACATGCTCACGAGCGTAAAGTGTTAGGAACAAAAGGGAGGTGCGAATAAAAACACGCGATTGCGTACCCATCGGTCAGTCCGTCTTGAGTTAGCGAATGAATCCGTCCAGTGACAAAGTGCACAATTTGTCTGTCCCACCCACATGGGCAATATAATATTATAATAGCATCAGGTGTTCTTTAGTAGCCTATTAGGGCCCCCTGTATCGTATCTGGTTTTTGAGTGGTAGCGAGTTTCCAAAACCTTGGATATTTCAAACACATTCGCTTGGCTTTGGCCGGCGGGTTCTGCGTAAGGAGGATCGCTCCTCCCGTCGCCGTTGTACTCAGTGTTGCCAACTCAGATTTTGAAAAAGGCGTAGGCCCGATGAGAAAATTACGTAGTGTTGACGCTTGAGTAAAAAGTTCTGCCTACACCGGAACGTCGCTCCATTTCCACCAGTAGAAGCAGCTTTGACCCACGTGATCAAAAAACCCCCCTTTTCACTGCACTCTCTACGCAATTCAAATTTTGTACGCTCAACTTTCTTTCGCAATTTTCATTTATTTATTTTATTTTGTAATTATATTCGCAATATACGCATTATTGAAGTAAACAACTGAGCTTTATTGAAGAGTACGCATAACGCCGAAACATTTGGACCTTTTTCGCCGGATAATACGCTAGAAGAATCAGCGACTGTTGCAACCGACGGTTCAACGTCTGTAACGAACCAGGAAATAAGTCGCAAGGTCGAGAGGTTCTACAAAAGCACAGCAGTAACAGCAGCAACCGGAAGTCCAGGAGCCACTAAGCATAAGCGCAAATCGTGGGAGAAGCCAGCTAGCCTTTGAAACGCGCATAAAGGTACAGCCAGCCATCCCGTCTATTCCTGCTTTATCTCCACTTCCTCTGTGTAATACTGTGCATTTTGTCTTATTCCAGTACTTAATTTGTTGTGTATATTTGCTACGAGCCTACGACTCAACCCGCGAAACAGCTGCGGCAGTTACATTTCAAATCGTAAGTACTCCTTCTTTACTACTTTTCACCAAAATGAGTGTAGATCCAAGCCTAGTGCGTGAAAAATCCCCTTACAAATGTAGCAATGAGAGCTTGATTAAGGATTTAGTAAGGAAACGCGGTATAGTTAAGGGTAGATTAACTAAATTTGCTAACTATCTCTGTAACATGAAAGTAGAGAATATTTCAAGTCAGTCTCGCATAGATTTAAAGTTGCGTATTCAAGGGGCTTCAAATTTATATAAAGAATTCAATGATATTCAGAGTCAATTGGAGGACTTAGCCGTTGATTTGGATGAGCAGTTAACGCAGAGAGAATCGTTCGAAGATGGTTATTACAGTATCCTAGCGCAGGCTGAATATCTATTGAACCCAAACCAACTTGCCAGCAGCTCCAACGCTTGTAGTCATAGTAGTAAATCTATAAAGTTACCTACTATTTCTTTACCCTCCTTTAACGGTTTGTGTGAACAATGGTTAGAGTTTAGGGACACTTTTCTATCTTTAGTCCACAATTCTCAGGAGTTAAGTAATATAGAAAAGTTCCACTACCTTAAATCGTCACTTAGGGGAAGCGCGGAACTGGTTATAAATTCGGTTGAGTTTTCTAGTGACAACTATTTAATTGCCTGGGAATTACTACTCAATCGTTACAATAATAGCAGATTGCTGGTTCATAATCACGTTAAATCTCTATTCACAATGCCAAGTATCAACAAAGAGTCTCCAGCTTTATTAAGAAAATTAATAGACACAGTTTTAAAGAATTTGCGTGCATTAAAAATTCTCGGTGAGCCAACTGAATCGTGGGATACCCTGATTATTTATATAATGGTATCTAAATTAGACCCAACTACTGAACGCGAATGGGAACAATACAAAGGCACCTCATTATCTGCTAATAATAATCGCAAGGCACAGCTTAAGGTGGATAATTTAATTGGTTTCCTTAATGACCGGGCTGACATGCTAGAAACGTTACAGTTATCACATAACAAGGCAAATTTTGAAAATAAAAAACACTACCCACAACAACATAGTCAATCAAAAGTTCACTGTAATGTTTCTGCCGGTAAGCCACCGGAACGCTATTCACGAGATGTCACTGGGAAAACCTGTTTGTTATGCAAGGCGAACCATCCACTATATTCATGCATAAAGTTTCTAAATTACGATTACGATAAGAAAATAAAATTTGTTAGCGATATGAAACTGTGTGTTAATTGTTTGCGCACTGGTCACACTGCCGATTATTGCCGTTTTGGTCCCTGCAGAAAATGTAACGAAAAACATAATTCGCTAATTCATAATGACAGTAACATATCATCCGTGTCCTACAATGTAAATAACAATTCCGACGCAGTTCACGCATTGCACCGCACTGAGGATCCTGCGCCTGCGCCGCTCGCTCACTCCGGGCGTAAGCCCTCTTTCCCCACGCACTCCGTCCCGCGGTCGCCTGCCGCGTCCTTATCAGAACAGGTTTCAATCATACATGCGAATAAAGCACATTTACCTGATGCACAAACAATAGCGGCCAATGTTGTTTTGCTGTCTACTGCGTTAGTTGAGATAGCCGATCCTTATAATAATATTCATGTTGCCCGCGCGCTCCTTGATAGCGGGAGCGAACGTTGTTTCATTACTAAACAATTATGCGATTCACTTAAAGCGCCAGTAATACAGTCCACTCAACAAATACGAGGTGTTGGTAACTCGGTCACAAATTCAACTCAAATATGTGACATCGAGATTAAATCGCGCACCAACCCGTATTCTACGCATTTGCAGTGTTATGTTCTTCCGGTAATCACTCCTTCGTTACCGGCTATAACACTCCAATCTTCTCATTTCGACATTCCCGACAATGTTCAACTAGCGGACCCGAAATTTTATGAATCCCACAAGATAGACATTCTAATCGGCGCAGATAAATTTTGGGATTTATTAAATAATAACAAAAAATTAAAGTTATTAAGCGGGCCTTTCTTATTAGATACTAAACTCGGGTGGGTAGTGTCAGGACCTATTTGTACGCTTTTGCGACAAGATAAGTACATACAATGCAACTTCTCTCAATCAGTCGAGTCCTTGCCACACCAGTTTTGGAAGCTCGAGGAAGTAACTGTAGCTCAGGGTACGTGCACTGATGTGGAACGCGCGTGTGAGGAACATTTTGTCACTACAACTACACGAAATAGTGACGGACGATTTTGTGTTCGTATACCTTTTAATAAAAGTACAGATACATTAGGCGAAAGTTATTCACAAGCTGAGCACCGGTTTTTTGCGCTAGAAAAAAGGCTTCAGCGTCATCCCTATTATAAAAAACTTTATACAGACTTTATGCATGAATATATACGTTTGGGTCATATGAGTCGTGTTGATCAGTACGGGAAACAACATTATTTATTGCCACATCACGGTGTTTTTCGTGAGCACAGTACTACGACTAAATTACGAGTGGTATTTGATGCAAGTGCCAATACGAGCAACGGCGTTTCGTTAAATGACTTATGGCTATTCTCATTAGGTTTAGATTTAATAGGTACACAGCTTGTGCGGACATAGAAAAAATGTACCGACAGTGTCTTATTCACGAAGATCAACGTGATTTGCAATTGATCTTATGGCGTGACGATCCGTCAGAGCAATTAAGCATTTATAGGCTAAACACGATTACCTACGGAACCGCTTCCGCACCGTTTTTGAGTTGTAGATGTTTAAAGCAGTTGGCTGCTGAAAGCACGAATTCTGACGTCATGAGAGTTATTAGCGAGGATTATTATATAGACGATATGATTACAACTTCTGAGAGTAAGGAATCTTTGTTGCAAACTTGTCAAGCAGTAGAAAAAACTTTACTTTCTGGTTGCTTTCCACTTCGGAAATGGAAGTTTAATTTCGATTCAAACGAAATGCAGCATGAAACATCTAAAGATTTGTCTTTGGGTGAGAATATACATTCGAAAACTTTAGGTTTAGGCTGGTTTCATACTACGGATCAATTTCATTTTAACACAGCATTTAAAAGAGATAGTTCTCAAACTATCACAAAGCGTTATATTATGTCAATGATATCACAAATCTTTGATCCGTTAGGATTATTAAGTCCATTTGTAATTTTAGGTAAAATTCTATTGCAAAAACTTTGGTTAATAAAAATAGGTTGGGACGAAGAAGTCCCTGGGGATGTCAAAGAAGTTTGGGAACGATTTTCCTCTTCTTTGCATGTTCTTGGTGACATACGCATACCTCGGTACGTACAGGGAATGAAACCCGTAGGTCGAGAGTTACATATTTTTTGTGATGCCTCGGAGTCTGCGTATGGAGCATGCATTTATATTCGCACTATTAACATTGATTCTTCTGTATCTGTTCAGCTTTACTGCTCAAAGGCAAAGGTTGCACCCTTAAAGTCAATTAGTATCCCAAAGTTAGAATTATGCGCGGCGTTATTGGGTGCAAAACTGTTTAAAAGAGTACGTGAAGCCCTTTACTCTGTTGATTTTAACAACGTAGTTTTTTGGACCGACTCCACTATTGTGCTGGGTTGGTTACGCATGGCTCCTAACTTGCTAAAAACATTTGTGAGGAATAGAGTTTCAGAAATCCATGAAATTGTTAAGGATGTACCCTGGTATCATGTAAGTGGAGGCAACAACCCCGCTGATTTAGTGTCCCGAGGGCTGTATTTAGACAAACTTAAATCAGCCTCATTATGGTGGGAGGGACCGTCATTTGTTCATAGTTCTGAAATTGAGTACGGAACCAACCGTGAAAATAATTATAGTAAACAAGATTTACCTGAACTAAAGGTAAACTGCACCTTTTTGGCTACGACAGAGATTTCTATTTTTCCTTTTCAAAGATTTTCACAATATACTCGGATGAAATATACGCTAGCGTATGTCCTGCGTTTTGTACATAACACGCGTAATAGATATCACGATCGCCGCGGGCCACTCAATGTTGAGGAGTTGCGATTGTCAAACTTACATCTTATAAGGTTTTCGCAGCAAGAATCGTTTCCAGAGGAATACAAAATGCTATTGAACAACGGACATCTAAAAACTACTCACAAATTGATAAAATTAAATTTATTTATGGATGATGACCAAATCATACGCGTAGGCGGTAGGATGGAAAATTCAGCAGATTTTCCTTATGATAAGAAGCATCCAATGTTGTTGTCGTCTAAACACTGGTTTACATTGGTGCTTTTTCGGGACGAACATAAGCATTTGCAGCATGCCGCGCCGCAGGCGCTATTGTACAATATACGCGAACATTATTGGCCAGTTGGAGGTAGGGATCTTGCTAGGCTAACTGTACACAACTGCATTATTTGTAAGCGATTGAGGGGTAAAACTTTGTCACCCATGATGGGTAACTTACCGCAAGAAAGAATCACTCCGAGTTTTCCTTTTATAAATTGTGGCGTAGACTATGCAGGGCCGGTGTTCACATTAAACCGCAGAGGCAGAGGCTCAAGGTTGGTCAAGGGTTATGTTTGTCTATTCGTCTGCTTTGTAACTCGCGCCGTGCATTTAGAGCTGGTTAGTGACTTATCTTCGGACGCCTACCTTCTCGCATTAAAGAGATTCATCTCACGTCGCGGTAAACCTGATCAAATTTTCTCAGATAACGGTAGAAACTTTGTAGGCGTTGCAAACGAATTTGAAAAATTTTTGTCAACTTGCTCTGATGATATTATTGAATACGCAACTACACAATCAATTAAGTTCTTATTCATCCCCCCATACGCACCTCATTTTGGTGGACTGTGGGAGCTGGAGTCAAATCCTGCAAGTATCACTTACTTAGGGTTATTGGAAATGCACATTTGACATTTGAAGAATTTAGCACAGTATTGTCACAGGTTGAAGCTATCCTAAATTCCCGCCCACTGAGTCCTATGTCCTCTGATCCAAACGACATTAACCCTTTGTGTCCAGCTCATTTCCTTATTGGGCGGCCTTTGACAGCACCTGCATCGGCTCACTACACAGATGTTCCTGTTCACCGCTTGACGAACTACCAAAGACTAGAGCAGCTTCGACAGCACTTTTGGACTCGCTGGAACAAGGAATATATCTCGGAACTGCAAATCAGAACAAAATGGACAGGAAATGGAGCCGATCTTCAACCTAATACATTGGTTGTAATCAAAGAGGATACCGTTCCTCCTCTGAAGTGGAGCTTGGGTCGTATCATTTCCACCACGCCAGGGAAAGATGGAATTTCACGAGTGGCAGATATTCAGACTGCTGCTGGTATTGTACGTCGTGCTTTCTCCAAAATCTGTCCCCTCTTCGACATAGAAGACAAGGTGTTGGACGCTGGTGCTTCCAAGGCCGGCGGCATGTTGACGCTTGAGTAAAAAGTTCTGCCTACACCGGAACGTCGCTCCATTTCCACCAGTAGAAGCAGCTTTGACCCACGTGATCAAAAAACCCCCCTTTTCACTGCACTCTCTACGCAATTCAAATTTTGTACGCTCAACTTTCTTTCGCAATTTTCATTTATTTATTTTATTTTGTAATTATATTCGCAATATACGCATTATTGAAGTAAACAACTGAGCTTTATTGAAGAGTACGCATAACGCCGAAACACGTAGATTTAGTAATTTTTGCATATGAAAAGTACGTAGATCTACGTACTTTTTTCTGAGTGAAATTAAGAAGTCAGGTGAAACCGAATGAAACGAGTATTTTATTATACAATTTCTTTAAAAACGGGAGATAGAACAAAGAGTTCTTGGAGAAATCGCTGCATTGGAAGCATTTACCACGCTGTGGTAGACCATGACCATGTGGTATTATAAAACCATGATTTCTAATAGATTACATGAAAAATAGAGTTAGTTATCATAATACACTTGGTAAAAGACTCTAGAAAGTTGTGGTTAAAATTGCCAAGAGAAATAATACATACACTTATACATGAACACATGTTAAAAACTTACTAATTCTTGTAACTTTATCGACTGAAAGTCATTTCTTTTTGCAAACATCAATTCGATGTAAGTACTCATTGAATAATATTTAAACTTTAAAAATTCAATTTTTAAGGTTACGAATGTACCTACTAAGTCAAAGAGTTTTGTCGTTTCTCCTTTCAGAAATCCTGCGTCCAGCATTAATTTAGTCAACAAAACCAATGACGGGAACCTTTTCTACAATATACAACATGTATCATCTTTATAATAAATAAACATTTTTATAGTTTTTAAGAAAAGTAACGGAAAATATTCTTCTTTATTCTAGTGAATTAAGTTATTTTACAAATTTGAAAAAAATAAAGAAAATACGTAGAGTCTGGGGCTAAAGTTAGTAGGTTTGCAGAAAAGGCCTAAAATACGTAGATCTACGTAAAAAGACGTAGAGTTGACAACACTGGTTGTACTGAAGCCGCTGATGGGATCAGTCTCAGTCAGGAGCAGTCTGTAACTCCTTAGACTCTATATTTGGTTAGAGTTAGGCATCTTTAACGTGCCTTCCATTTAAGCCGTGTATCGCGGAGCTAAGTACGCCCCGGCGTTTTGGTTCGAAGTTAGGGCAAAGTGGTTTCTGCCCTACAGGCGACCGGCTGCGTACTGAACATAAAGAGTTTCTATATTATGACATAGAATCCGTATGATTTCGCGTAAAGTGACTGCGCGATAGCGATACGCGCGATAGAATATACATGCTATAACGCGAGACCATCTGAACTTATTGTTTACAGTTATGTAAAATAATGTGGGGATGTTTGTTGCTCAACCACGCTAAAACGGCTGAACGGATTTTATGGATACCTCCTTTACTTGCGTCGTATTCCTCATTACTGAAGGTCACAGGAACTGAGCGACCTTCAATTTGTGCAAAAAATTTACTGAACCTGAGAAAATTATTATTCTTATGTCCTGTTACATTCAATACCATTTTATCATGCTTGTATCATTAAAGAAGAAGTTAAACCGCATTAAATCAAATGTCTTCAAACGATCAAAAGCTTTGTCTGCTTTTGAAATAACTTTTTTATAACTAAAGAAAAGTTTACTAGAAAAAAATAAATGCTTAATAAATAAAAACATAACTTTTTTATAATTTCACGAGACTAGACAAGGTATAATAGCATTGCTTAAGATATAATTCAACTTGGATTGGTAAATACAAATCCAACAAATAAAAAAAAATCGTTTCATTATTTACCTTGGCTGGAATATTCTTCAAGTACTTGTACACCGTCCTCGTAAGCTTGTAAAAAAAATTTTTTAATACACGACTACCCAAAAAAAGAGTGCAATGTTTATAGGGTTCATGTATGTATTTATTTTTCTTTAGTCCATAATAACTTTTAAACACCTAAGCCGATTAAGAATCCGCCGTCACTCTGCGCTCGACCACCATATGGTTATAGCTTATAGAAATATCAGGCAATAACCTTGTTGGCAGAGCGCTGCTAGTACACTAAAGAGCGCGTACAGTGCAGGCGCTGGTCGGCCCTCCAGTACCGCTGCTACCTTCAAGCATGGTAGCGAACGCTGCCAGTGCTGATCTCGACAACCACCACACGCCATAAGGTTAAGGCTTATAGAACCACCATACTAATTCCATACCTGGATGGCGAGCTTCGGGTGGCTTTGGTACTAAAATGCGCTAAAATTTGCATTCCAACTTTGAATTGAGTACGCTCCTTCAGCTGCATACATAGATTTATCGTTTTCCACAATCTCTATTAACGTACCACATTATCGCCAGTCAAGCTATCGTCTAGCGACTGTAGACACGCAGCCCCCTAATTCATTACGACAGAACCAGTTCTAACTTGGAATGCTAATTTTAGCGCATTTAGGAGCAAGGCCACCCGAAGCTGCGTCGCGCAGGTGTGGGAAGCATCAGAAAATAACCTTCTTGACAGACTGCTACTGGTACACTAAAGAGCGCGTATAGCACAGGCGCTGGTTAGCCTACCAGTTAACTCGACCGTTACCACACGCCGTATGGTTATGACTTATATAATCATCAGACAATAACCTTGTTGGCAGAGCGCTGCTAGTACACTAAAGAGCGCGTACAGCGCAAGCGCTGGTCAGCCTTCCAGTGCGCTCGACCGTCACCACACGCCGTATAGTTATGACTTATATAATCATCAGACAATAACCTTGTTGGCAGAGCGCTGCTAGTACACTAAAGAGCGCGTACAGCGCAGGCGCTAGTCAGCCTTCCAGTGCGCTCGACCGTCACCACACGCCGTATGGTTATGACTTATATAATCATCAGACAATAACCTTGTTGGCAGAGCGCCGCTAGTACACTAAAGAGCGCGTATAGCACAGGCGCTGTTTAGCCTACCAGTGTCGCTGCAACCGCCAGTACTATGGCGAGCGCAGCCAATGCTGCGCTCGACCGTCACCACACGCCGCATGGTTATGACTTATATAATCATCAGACAATAACCTTGTTGGCAGAGCGCTGCTAGTACACTAAAGAGCGCGTACAGCGCAGGCGCTTGTCGGCCCTCCAGTGTCGCTGCAACCGCCAGCACGATAGCGCACACTACCAGTGTTGCACACGACCACCACCATACACCCGCAGACAGCGGCCGAAGGAACTGATTCTCGTACCCGCCCACGCCATTATTCGGTATCAGGTAGTAGAACTTAGTTCTGCGAATGATATAATATACTGTGTCAACTTGTAAAGATATAGGTAGAGGACATCAATAATCTCTATATATAAAACTCAAAGGTGAACTGACATAGTGATCTATCAACGCACAGCCCAAACCACTGGACGGATCGGGCTGAAATTTGGCAAGCAGGTAGATGTTTTGACGTAGGCATCCGCTAAAAAAGGATTTTAAACAATTCTACCCCCAAGGGAATAAAATAGGGAAGGAAAGTTTGTATGAAACTTGTCAATTTTAAACCGATCGGGCTGAGACTTTGGATGCAGTTATAAGAAGAATCGTAGATGAATGTCATTGTGTGTAATACAAGCCTAAGAACAAAAACTGTAGTCTACACTTCAGCTCTACACCGAAGCGAAGCGAGGGCGGGCCGCTAGTTAATAATATAAGAGGTGCTAGTCTACGATGAAAAACTAACCTTAGACTCTGAGGATAACGTGATCTAGATTATAGATACCCAAAATTATGGGATTATCATAAATAGAAGCTAGCATCTACTGTAACTAATTTTTCTCTAACTATGTATGTTTTCATGGGCTATTGGTCTCCCAAAAATTTAATAAGTAAATAAATGTCTATCTTATCTTAAAGTGCTATTTTCATATGCTTTATTTACTGAAGTGTGGTGGTGGGAGGGAAGAAATAGTCCACCCACTCCATCCACTTGGGGAACATCCTGGCGCTAGTGCAAGAGATGTCCTGCTCCCGCCAGTACAAGGAGTTGGAAACAGCCTGTGGAATATAAGGAATGAGCACAGTCATTACGTACAGTATATAACATAGTTAATCTGCAGAAAGAACTACCTACTTGTTTGCGTCATCACTTAAGAACATGGACTCAACAATAGGCATGATGACGGGGTAAAGTAAACGAAATTCTATTTAGTCCGTCAGTTAGATGATCAAAAAATAATGTACACGTATTTTTTCTTTGGGCAATCAACCAAAAAATGACAAAGTTATAGCGCGTCAAAGTTTTTGAGTGAATTTTCATTTATAAGTGTACTCAAACGTGACGTCATGCGACTTTTCAAATCATATGTGAAATCAATATGTGAAAAAAGAAAAAAATCGTGTCCAATACTTTTTGATAATCTACCTGATAAACGAAGAAAAAAAAAATAGTCATCATCCCTATTGCTGGCTATTGTTACTTGTAATGCAAGTGTGTCCGATTTCAGATGATACAATTTACTCAGTAAACATAAATGAGCCATTAGCGTAAAAAGGAGTATATATGCCTTTCAGTGGGTTCATCTTTGCATAGAAACGATAGCCTTGCAGTGAAATAGGATAGTATTTCATAGTTTAATTACAGTCTACATAGTTTAATAGTCTTTTGATTAAAACATCTTTATTTTCTCTCATTACATAAACGAGATTGACTCTTACATATTATAAACACAAATTTTAATGGGTCTGGATATTGATTTTAGACACAGTTTTATGCTGTTGAATTTATATGACAAACATTCTCATTTCCCGTTTTCTCGGACCAAACTTAATATTTGGTATCAAGTTCTATTGAACGTCACACAAACTTAAATTATGAATGTAAGTGGTTTGGTGCCTGCTTCTGACGGACTCATATTTACCAGGGTGGAGTTGCGCTCTGGGAGGCCAATCCAACGCCCGGCTATTGTGTACTTGAACCTGCAACCAAAAGGGTTTTGACTATACACCTTCAAAAGCACAAAGGCGCCGAACACAATGATCTTGGTGTAACAAAACGCTTTATTCAATTCTCGGGAAAGTTTAAAGAATTAGAAAAAGCTGGTTACTATCGAATGACAGCAAATCTGCCGTCCTCAAACCAAAATGCGACTAAGTGACATGTGGTCGATTTTTTAGTATTAAATTGCATCGTATAGTTTTTAATTCTCTATCGATCTGTCTATAACAAGTATTTGTATCTTTTATAGTTTAAGTCTAAAAATCCGCCATGTGATGAATGGTTAGAAAATAGCAATAATTTTAAGTTTATGTACAGTTTTATGGCCCAATTTCAAAAGTTGGTTTTGTCATTAAGCCGCGTTTTAGCTTGGGTACGTCAGAAATGTTTACGCGCGCTTCTATGAAAATAAGTAAATTTTATTATTACCCGTAGACATAATAAAACGTGTAATATGTTTGTGTGTAAATAACTGCATTATGACATAAATGTTTGTGACTGACTGGTTTCAAAACCTATTAATGTTCGCAATTATATGTTTGTTGGACACTTGATGGTTAAGCTGATATCCTCAAAGATTAAAACTTGCATTAGAATATCCAATCCGTTGTCACATAAGAACTAAACTATTTTTAGCATTCCCAAATACATGTAGATTGTCTTAAATTCGGATTTTATAACAGTTTTAACGCATCGGATATAAATGATTTGAATAATTAACAATCGAATTTTTAAGATACCAATCAAAAGGATCGCTTCAACAAGTTCTGATTAGAATTTTAAAAGAATGCCTCAGGGAATAACACTTCTGAAAGGAATATCATATTCATGGAACAATGTACGAGTATAATATAAAAATGATATGTGCACACTAGACTGTTATTCTTATACGGAATAAGTGAACTTTACATGAAATAAAAATAAAATGAGAATAGCGAAAATCTCTGATAACTCGATTTTATCATTATTCTATTCATAGATACGCGATAGAACAATAAAAACTTGCAACCAACACCACATAAGTTTTTTTATACGAAGCGCAACCTATTACCCCACCCTATCTGATGCTAAGTATGAGTGGAGTCCAGTCACGAAGATATATATATATATATATATATATATATATATATATATATATATATATATATATATATATATATATATAAATTAAAAGCCTTCGCTCACCTGAAGTTATGTTGCTGCATCAGCACATTGAGGAGCTGAGCCGACACCTTCGTCATGGCAGCTACTCCCATTGTGTATCCCACGTCCATTAGCAAATCAGGATGAAAGGATTCTGGTTTCTCTAGAAGCTGAACGAAACAGGTAAAGACGAATAAAATATTTCGTGAGCTTTGTATCAACCCATCTTACAGAAGACCTCAATAAATTAATGGTACCTTTAGCTCGTGAGTTAGGTTTCCAGAATTCTATGCGGTAGACTATTTGTAGAGCTAGATGGCACAGGTGGTTAGCGCGTTCGGCTGCGATCGTTGAAGGTAAATAACTTTCGCAGTGGTCGGTCATTGGATGGGTGACTCAAAATCTTCTATCTCAAGTTCCTCCGTGCTTTGGAAGGCACGTTGAGCCGTTGGTCCGGGCTGCAACTGCAGTCGTAAGCACCCGCCAATCGCCAATGGGCCCGCGGGATGTCATGGCCCAATCTCCCTATTCCATCTATGGGGAAGGCCTGTTCCCCAGCAGTGGGGATATTAATAGGCTAATGATGATGATGAGACAATATTGTTGGGGTAGGGAAAGCGAAATTCAAAGTATGGCATCGCACGCTTATGCCACTTATCATCAGGCAGACCAGCCGCCCGAGCAGCAGCATACATGTTGGCTGGGCTTAACTTAACGCGAGCGAAGGCTAACTGATACAAGAAAATTGCTACCGTCCAGACGTTGGGTTTTGATGAAGACAGATGAGCATTGGGGAGCTGCCCGTACGTCGGTGCACTATCAGTTAGGCGCTTTGCAGACAACGGGGCGGGGCGAGCTTTTTGTCCGCGAAGCAATAAAAACCGCGTCTGCCCGTCAATGTCTGCGGCTGCCCTCGCCGCGTACACGAAGCACACGACGGGCAGAGGCAGTCAGTTCAGGACGTTCGATCTAGTGAAGGGTCCATCACTAAAAAACGGGTAGCCGCGGACATGCCGCGCCACCAGTGCCCGCCGGGCACCTGCGGCGCGGTCTTTTTGCCCTCTGTGTGCGTTTGTAGTATAGGATTCACTTTGTGCTATCGTTCGCGGTGAAATTGACCGGCCCGCTCCGCCCCGCCGTCTGCAAAGCGCCTTATTGTAGACGACGTGAGACAAATATTGGCGACCGACAGCAAGTGCCGACAAGCGACGCCAAAATGCGGACTTTGGCGCTTCCCTTTACGATGACAAGGCAAGATGCTGTCTAAATGTTGTTATAGTCTTCGCTTGGCCCAAATGTATACGTGGCTTTTTCTTAAAGTGTTTTTAGTGTTTATTAATTCGTTATAATGTATGTGTCGCTTGTTTGTTAATCACGAAAAAATAAAAATTTTTTTGGAGTCAGCACCGCCCGTATCACCCAGTCGTACCCGATGTTCCACAGGAGCGGTCCAAGGACTATCCATAGGTCCTCTATGGAACACCGCACACCATAGGATGGGATCTCATATTTCCTTCTCTATCAACATAGAACACCTCTCGGTTTTCAAGGTCTCTATGATCCGACGCGAGGAGCTCGATGGCGCAAGTGGTTAGCGCGTTCGGCTGCGATCGTTGAAGTTAAGTAACTTTCGCAGTGGTCGGTCATTGGATGGGTGACCAAAATTTACTATCTCGAGCTCCTCCGTGCTTCGGAAGGCACGTTAAGCCGTTGGTCCCGGCTGCATCTGCAGTCGTTAGCACCCACCAATCCGCACTGGGCCCGCGTGGTGGGTCATGGCCCAATCTCCCTATTCTATCCATAGGGAAGGCCTGTGCCCCAGCAGTGGGGACATAAATGGGCTGATGATGATGATCCGACGCAGGCTATTACCTGGATTAAGACATAGTACACTTTTTATCCCGAAAAAAAAAATTTTTCGCTTACCACAGAAATGGCACGCAGCGTCAAGTTGTGGAAGTCCCATCGTTGGTAGTACTTAAATTGTTTGAGCATATTCATATCTACAAATTAAACATAAACATGAGGGGACCGTGTCCGGAGAAACTTTCCGTGTATTATATATTCATTTAATTAGTTCTCCACTCAATAAAGAACTCTGTGGCGGCGACATCTATATGCCCCACATATAGACAACGGATGGAGGAAATCATTACTCACCATCCTCAAGAGATGGCGTTACCTGCACTGCGATCAATAATAGTATGGAAGCCTACATCGCGCAAATGAAATTCGGAAGCTAACTCTTCATATATACGATGCCCGACCAACGTCAGTCGGGCCGCGGCCCTCGAGCTAACATCACCCAGCTCGGAGGAAGATCTTCCCCTTTGGCCTTCCTACACTGGTGACCCTCGACTGAACACAGCAGCGGCAAGAAGCAACCTTCAACCATCGCAGCGCAGCCATCAAACCTCATACCCCTTCCTCATCAAGTCAAGCAACATCAGCAGCCACACAGCAAGCCATCATCAGCCTCAAGGTTCCATCGCAGCTCTCAACGACCCCGACCTGGTCTCCGCAACCCACGACAGGTACCTCACTTGTCGGCCGCAAGCACACCGGCGTGTCAGCCCTGCACACCAGCAGCTCGGACCCACCGTCACACTCCACCTGTCTCGACTCACCGTAGACTGGAGCAACTCTGCAGCACTGGCGACGCGCCTTCACCCCTACCGTCTCGACTCACCGCAGACTGGGGCATCCTGCAGCACACTGGCACTTGCAAGCTCGACTGACGCACTGACTGCTGAAAACACTGACCATCGACCTCCGGTCTCGGAGGGGAGTGATGTGGCGGCGACATCTATATGCCCCACATATAGACAACGGATGGAGGAAATCATTACTCACCATCCTCAAGAGATGGCGTTACCTGCACTGCGATCAATAATAGTATGGAAGCCTACATCGCGCAAATGAAATTCGGAAGCTAACTCTTCATATATACGATGCCCGACCAACATCAGTCGGGCCGCGGCCCCCGAGCTAACATCACCCAGCTCGGAGGAAGATCTTCCCCTTTGGCCTTCCTACAACTCGATTTTTGTACTGCCTTGTCCTAGTTGCCTTTGTAATTATGACTCAAAATAAAATTTTATTTCATTAGATTTCGGTTTTAGCATATACTGCTATAGAAAAATTACTTACAATAAAATTTACTCAATTATCAAGCTGATATCGAACCAACCTTTTGGCATATTTGCTGTTTGCAACAGTCTATCCTTATCATGCTTCATAAGGAATGAAAAGGACAGACTGATGTCAAGTTTACAAATGGCAAACTTGAATAACCAAGTGCCGGAATTAAATATGCGGGCGAATGTACTGACCATTCAATAAATAATTTTAAATTAAAAGGATAATGTTAAAATTGGCCTAAGAACCAACACCAATTTGGCATTTATGATAATTCTTAGTATATTTTTTGCGATAATTATCAGTATTTAGATTGTGACGGACACTTCCAGTTAAGTAAGCTAAATTAAAAAGTTAAAATATAATCTGAGACAATAAATATCATTTTATGTGTATAATCTATGGCAGCGCTGCAAACAAAACACTCTTTCTTCCTAATGCCGGCACTTCACTTGGCTATTCGTATTTGCTATTTTAAAACATGACATCAGTCTGTCCTTTTCATTCCTTATTAAGCATGACAAGGACAAAAAGTTGTCAAGTGAAGGGCCGGCATAAAACTGTTACTCTGTGGTTATGGTGCATGCAGTTTACATTCGTAGTAATCTGTGGCATTCGTGCATTCCAAAGAGTAGTATTATATACCGGAAAGTGCTTTCCTGTGGTGCGTTCTCGTTTCGGATTACCTGTTGTGTGTGTATATTTGCGATTGTTTTTCCTTTAATTTAACTATTTCGGCTATCTAATATGCCATCGATGCCAAAGAGCAGAGCCCTTATTACCAAGTGCTAGTGAACCTGTGCCACAACAGCCTGAGAGGATCATACTGCCAAATTATTCAAGAACAAATGATACACATTCACGCTGCATATTTACACAATATGTGATATACAAATAAATACAATAAACAATATGATACAATTATGTGAAAAATAGTCAATAAATAAGAAGCAAAACTACAGTCTTTATTTTATTCATGTTCCTACCTAACCAATTTTAAAACCTAATAGTTATTCTTTAAAATCACACCGAATAAAATGAATTAGTTGTAATATTAATTCACTTAATACTGAATTTATACTAAATTCAGGGGTGGACCTATGTTTCATTGATATTAAACATAACCTCAAAAAAAAAAACCTAATAATTTAAGTTCTCAGAAGTGTCCGTCAATAATCTTTGTTTTTACAGTCATTTACTTACGATTTTGAACCTAGAAAATAATATTTCATGATTGTTGGTTCTTAGGCTAACTATGTATGGACGGTGAACAATGTCCTTTCTAACACTCACACCAATTAGTCTAGCCCCAAAGTAAACACTATAAGGCTTGTGTAATAAGATTCTAGGGTATCGGATAGAATACATATGCTATACATATTTAAGTATATTTATACAGAAATACATATTAAACATCCATGACTGGATTACAAATGCTCTTATTCACCACAAAAACTCCACGTACTAAGATACCAGCGTACAAACCACTCAGCCACAGAGGTCGTCAACTACATCAATACTATAAAGCGTAAAAAATCTATACTTATAATAAATCTGTAGAGATGTCAATTCTGTACATGAAATATATTTTTAAAATAATTATCAGGGGGTGATTAGTGATCGATATTGATGCCAAAAATGCAATCAGTAAAATTTTTGTCTGTCTGTCTGTCTGTGTATATGTTCCTTATAGAAACAAAAACTACTCAACGGATTTTAACGAAATTTGGTACAATTTTTCTTCATACTCCTGGGCAGGTTATAGTATACTTTTCATCACGCTACAATCAATAGCAGCAGAGTAGTGAAGGGAAATGTTGGGAAAACGGGAGAAGTTACTCCATTTTATAAGCTTCCGTCAAGGGGACAGCCTTAATGGTTAAAGTTACATAGAAATCATGTATGACGGAAATATTCTACATTAAATTGTCTAAAAAATATCCCGCAACAGCATATGTCTATCTTTTATGGTTGACTCACAATAACACGTGTA